TCCAGTCAAAGAAGGAATGCAATCACAGACCAGATGCTGGCGGGTTGACAGCAGATCTATGTGATGCACCAGAGTGCTCTTGTGTTCTTCCGTGCACAATGAGTTATAGCTTACGTTCACCACCTACCGTGAAAGGCACGAAAGTGACAGATGGTGGGACTATGACAATTCAGAAAGAGACAAGCCCCGCCGACGTGACTCTCGCCAAAGCCCACATCTTTCATAATGGGTTTTTGAATCGTACAGTTATCTTCAGATACATGCTGTGCCGAAATGTCTGGCACCTCGTAAGGACACTCTGAGTGAGATGCAACAAAGAGTAGCCGAAATAAATGCCGTGCGAATCGCGTGGTCGCTCTACCCTTTATTAGCAACTCCTCAATCGATAGACAGAGTCAAAGGAGGAGTGAATAGCAAGGGTGGCATGTGCTAAAACAGAACGTAAATTCTCGTAGAGCAAAAGATACGGTAGCATCTGTCGTGGTTGTTAACGTTGTGCGGAACTCTAGGGCAGGCACCGATAAAAACGTGTAAGAGCGGGCAAGCGCCAGCGTACGCGGCGGCTGTATAAGGGAAAGCCGCCCGTGGTTATAACGTCCCTAGGTGGGCACACGACTTGTCTCATCCACGTCACTCGACCTCTGCTCGCCCGGCTTTGTCTACGACCTTGACGACCGTCACGAATCATGGCTGCTGTAGAGCCACAAGCTAACATGCGCCTCAGGAAAAAGTCTTCCAAGTCTTCTCAGGATAGTCGTTCTGACGCGACGGCAAAGGATATTCTCGAGCGAGAGGACGTGGTATGGGGCAAGACTCCCAGCGGAGAAGGTGCGTCGCAATTATTTGCAAAAGAAGAGACAACACATTGAGTCGATGCCAGTGTTCCGCGTACCGACCACACACGACGTCTTGACGCTGTTTGACCCGCGATACCCCAAATCGCACATAGACCTTTTGAACCTTGGATTGCTGGGTCTGCAAATCGTGCTCTTTTCTATGTTGCCTCGGTCTTCTGCACGAGTTTTCTTCTTCTTTTATTTCGCATTCTGGAGGGCGGCATACGACGCCGGACTCGGCTGGGTCCTGACAAAACAAAGCAAAAGGAAGTGGATTGTGAAGGAGGTCCAAAAATTAGGATGGCTTGACGACACTCGACGGCCTGCTGTTCGTAACTGGATACGCAAGCAACTCGCCGGGAAAATGGGAAAGGATTATTCGTTTGACGTTCGTTCGTTTCGCTATGAGCCTCAGCCCGGAACTGATCTGTCAGTGAAAAGGACTTGCCATTGGAATATAATACCTGGTTACTCTTCCGCCAGGCAGTAGACATCATTCTTCTAAAGTTAGGTGGTTCATACGCGTGTTCAGATGGACCCTGACCTATCCTATCGTCTAGTGATTTTACCGCGTATTGTATGTTTGCGTTCGCGTGCTTCCGCGTGCCAGAAGGCTTGTCGGTCCCCACGCATATAATGCGGTAGGTGATCAATGCTTGTCTCATTTCTTGCTTTTACGAGGAGAATTTATAGGTGGATAGGCGGTATCGCGCTGATAGCGTTCAACCTTTGGGTCAAAACCGAGGCTCACGATGTGGTCAAGGACTACGGGTGGTACTGGGGTGATGTATTCTTCCAACGCGGCGCCTTGGTATTTGACGGTGTTTTCGAATTGGCACCTCACCCGATGTACTCCGTCGGTGAGCTTGACACTCAGTTAAGCTGTTGTCCCTATCTGAACGTGACGCTCCGCAGGTTATGCTGGCTATTATGGATTGTCGCTGATCGTCGGCAGCTACCCAATGTTGTTTGTCAGCCTGGCAGGTCATGCCGCTCAATTTGGATTTTTGGTGTTCTTCGAGAATCCTCGTGAGTTGCGATTTATTCTGGATGTGTTTGAGACTGAAAGGCAGTCAAAGATATTGAGCGAACTTACGGTCAACGCAAACTTCTTGCTAAGCGCACTCCATTGTTGCCTATGACCAAGAAGTCTATGGCAGAAAGACCATGCAGTGAAGATCGAGTTCGTAGTGCGTCGGTGTCATCTACGACTTCCCTAGATTTGTCGACTCCATCTGCTACGGAAGGAGAAAGCGGGATTGAGACAGATGAGCTCCATACGGACAATGACTCAGAAACGGAAAACGAGTTTGGAAGTACGAGCTCCCGTCACCGACGATTGTCGAGTACCGTCAATCTGCAGCAGACGAATGCTCTGACGTCCCAGCACGACCTGTTCAACAGTTATTTCAGAAAGGATGCCGTGCTCCTGCACAATATCGATTTGCTGCGGTTAGTTTGTAGTCTTGTCCATCATTCAGTGACAGCTCACGAGTTTGCGCAGTACGACAGATGCTCAGCTGGCTCTAGTCCTCGTGTACGTTCTGCTGGCGTCGTTTGTTCCAACAATGTCAAACAGTGCCACATTGACACTGTATTTTGCCCACGCTCTCGTTTGGTGTCTCTTCCACTCCTTCGGCCTTGGTTTGCTCTTGAGAGCTCAGTCGGAACGAAAGTTCCTTGTTCGTCATTTCTTGAAGCACTATCATTACCCACGTAACGACAATGGCAGAGGTGCTGTCATTGAAGCGTTCTCGAACTGGAAGTCCATGTATAACATGAGCATGTGCATGACTTACGGTAATTTGTCATATCTTACGGCTGGCGGGGAGTGAAGGAATACTGAGTAATTTCGACAGCATCCTTCATTGGGCTGGCATGGAACACGTACTCAATTCCGCACAACTGGACCGTGGGTAACGAGCTTCTCCGTCATACCATGGGGGCGGTACGTGAACCTTCTCCAACTCCTCTTCACGTCTGATTACAACTCAAAACTAACCCAATCGCGCTTTTCATCAGCTGCTCATTGCACTACACGTGTGGTCTACCCTAGAGCAGTACGAAGTTCTAGGCATGTTCGGTGAGCGCTACCAAGTGTTCAATTTAGGGAATAAAACTCATACCGCCTTCCCAGGGTGGTTCTTTGGTGACTTTTTCGTCGACGAGTTCGCCGGCCATTTGGAATACACCGGTATCTATCGGTACGTGAAAACGCAACCTTGAATGTCACATTGTGTTCTGATTGTCCCACAGGTACTTGAACAATCCGGAGATCATGAGTGGCGCAGCGTTCTTTGGCCTCGCCTTGATCAGCGGTAGCAAAATGGTATTTGCCCTCGCCGTCATACGTCACTTGTCGCAGTGGTGGTTCTTGAGCAAGGTGGAAAAGTGAGGCTCGAACATTCTCCGTCACGACGAAGCTTCGTTGCGGACTAACTCCACTCTTGTCTACAGTCCCCACATGCGCAAGCTGTATGGTGACAGTCTCCGTACCGACGCTGGGTTCGTCAAGGTCATTAAAAAGGTAGCGCAAAAGAACGCACGGATGCTTGAGACACGTGCTGGAAGACATGCGCCGGAGATTAAGCGAGTCGCCAGAGAGGTCAAGGGCACATTTGACAAGGTATATGTGGAAACTGCTGAAGCCGTGGAAGAGTTCCTTGCGCGCTGTATGTTGTTGATCAACCTGTCGTCGTTTCTTGGGGCTAAATCACGCGTGCCTGCAGCGAGGCCCAGGATTACAGAAGTTGTACAAGACACAAAGGTTTTATTACAACAATCACGAGAAAAACTGGTCATTTCGTACGTCTTCTGTCTTCTCTTTTTTTTCGATTCCCCGACAACGTTGCTGAAGCTTCAGAGAAGGAGAGTCTCGACCGATTTGTCTCGTTATGACCCTTCGAAGTACACCATCTCCGTCGTCGTGCCTAGGAGTGGTGAAGGATCTTTACGTTTCCACTTGGGGGAGCCAATCAAACTGAAGTGGCAGGCACCCCTGTACCACTCGCGTAAGGATTGGATTGGTATTTATCGGGTATGTTCCCTGGAATGCCTTCGCCTGTCCAAACGGAATGAACATGAATCTGCGTGCAGGTTGGGGCGAACGCGTCTAGCCACGTTACGAGGGTGTCTTCGTTGGGTATGTGGGTTCCCGTGCACGGTGAAGAGTGGGATGGGGACATCCCACGAGGACTGAGCAAGCCGAACAAACCTTTAACCGACGTCGACTATGAACGTGGCGAAGTTGTGTTCCACGGGGATACTCTTCCATGGCGAACTGGTCTTTATGAGGTCAGTGGGTTGCAACGGTGTATCTTTACGGCCAATGTTCACATCATGCGCCAGATTCGTTATCATCACGATGGTAAATACAACGTCATGAGTTTGATCAGCCCAGTTGAAATATACGGTGAGTTTCGTCGTTCATGGTATGAATTACAATCCCTCATGCAACCTTTCAATAGTGGACAAACCCTCGACGGTTGATTTTACGTCCGTTCGGTCTTCGTTGTCACGGATCGTCACGCTGTGTCTTGACTCGGACCCATCGCTCATTCCTACGTCGTGCAAGGGTCCCGATGCAGTGCTCGAAGTTGAAGAAGACCTGCGGGACCCCGACGATTTTCGGTTCTGGTCCGAGGACCAGGCCGTCCGTATCTCCAAGTCGATTCAGCAGGCTTTCGGCGTGGAGTTGACGCCCGAGGTTGTCATCGCGGACGCAAATCTGAGTGCGCTGACGAATAGAGTGCTGGTTGCTCGGGAACTGTTCTCGGAAGAGTAGGGCTGATGGGTTCGGTCGAGGAGTTTTCTTGGATCAAGTTGGAGGTCTTCTGGTTCGTGGTTGTGGCTTGCATAGTGTGGTTTTGAGTGGTTGTTGTTGTTCTCTACTAGGGTTGGATTGGTTACTGGATGATCTTTCCTAATTGATATCATTGCTTTCTGGTGGAAGACATGGACGAATGTTGGTAGCGGTCTCTCGAGCTTGGGTACGGGCAGATCATGATCACTTGAAGTGCTACGATGGACTTTGCTGGGCTGAACAAGAGCCAAATTTCTTACGCAACCTACGGCCTTATTTCAATGCCAGGCGTCACTTGTGGGAAACTTGGGGAAAACTGGAGCTAAAGCCCTCTAGTGTGTGTCTATGTTTGAACTTGACAAGCCGCTGTAGCGCAATGGTAGCGCATCGCTTTCCTATGTGCAAATGCCAGACGTTAGGCGGGGGTTGCGGGTTCGATCCCCGTCAGCGGTTAATTTTTTTTACTAGTGGAATTTCACTACCCGAAGATTCGTAGATGCCCGAGCGAATTCGAACGACTTTTTCATCGTTCCGTTATTTATTTTTTCTTGACAAGCAACAGCACGAGGTCTCTGCAGCAAGCGTGAGGCACATTGGGATTGATTGATAGATACTGTCTGTAAGCACTTTCAAGCGCCTAGCGCTAAAGGAATGAACAACCCATTTCTATCTTTATCTTTGTACAGCCAGCATGTCGAAAGGTCTCAGCAACGGCACGTTGAGCTTGCGTTTCATGCAGAATGCCCACCGGGCGAAACAACAAGCTCAGGTGGAACTCGAACAAGCCAAGGTCAAAGACGAGGCCGAGTGGGAGGTGTCGCAGGAGATCAAGGATGCGTGGGGAATAACAGGAAGTTCAACGTCGTCTGATTCAGAGTCGAGGTGAGAGTGTGTGTTGGTTGGTTGTCACCATTGTAGCGAAGGTTTTGTCAACGTGGCTTATTGAGAGGTTTTGGGCAACAGGTCTTTGAGTGGGACGACGACGACGACGTACGAGGCGTCGTATATACCTTTTATTATGTCTTGTGTGGTTGGAGAGGAGGAGGACGGTGTTGGTGCGGTGCGACCGAAGGGACGGAGGACGTTTGATGGGAGTGGACGGGAAGTGAAGAATGAACTGGTGAGTCTATGTTACAAAGATACTTGCTTTTTTTTTCTTCGGTTGGTGTTTGTGTGTGTTAGTTTTTTTTGCGGGAATTACGGGGCTGAGTTTTTTTTTAAAAAAACAAAGAAGAGATTAGAGGAAGGCAGCGTGCAAGGTGAACCTGCCGACGCCGTCGACACTGGGCCGCCGAAACGCATAACATCGATCTCGGGATTCCACCAAACTCCGTTCGCTGCCAGACACAAGAAGGAGAAGGAGTCGCTGGGGCTGGGGCTGGGGCCTGGGGACAAATCCAAAGAAGAGTCTCAAGAGTCTTCAGCTAAGACTGCGCAACAGCTGATTCGCGAAGATGTCACGCAGAGGATTCCGGGTTTGCGTTCCTCGAGGGAGAGTGGTGGTTTCGTGAGGCCTGTTGGCGTCGATGGTCCGTCCGCGTCACTACCACCCAAGGGAGGCAAGGTTGGTTCAGAGGTCCCACCACCAACGCCGATGAAGAAGCGAGAGCGAGAGCTTGCAGCAGCTGGTGAGGCGTCGAACAAGAAGCGTAGGAAAAAGAAGGAGACGTAACAGCAGAAGCTGGCAGAGTAGTCACTGGTCATCACTTTCCCTCTCACCCGTTCCAAGTCTCAAAACGACCCCAGAGTTTCGCCTGCGAAAAATCCAAATCCACACTGTCGTTTACGTTCTTATGATTGGGGGCAAACACCATCTTCGTGCGAAGGTGTCTGTGTGTGTGGTGGTTATCTGCATCGCACCACAGAAGCTTGTACGTGGTTATTATTATTCTTGGTGTGTACATATGTCTGATCGTCTTTTGTGCAACTTGTCAGAACTTTAAAAAATCCTCTCCTTCGTGCAGTGCATCTGGCCTTCGAGCTGAGAATCGGAATTCCACAGCGTCATCTTGTTGAAGCCCTCTCCACGAGAACTCCGAGAGTGGGTAAGCTCCAGTGCACAGCGCTCCGTTTCCAGCTGGTGGCTGGCGGCTGGAATAAAAAACCCAAAGTGGGCACTCTTCAGGGAAACCGTCTTGCCTCACTGAAGCTTGAAGCTTGAAGCTTGAAGGTTCGCCGTCGCTCTTTTTTCTCTTTGGGTTCCTGTTCAATCGATCGCGCCAAGGTGTACTGTATTGTACATTCACTATTGACTCCCGCACATTCAACGTTGAAAAACCCGTGAATCACTCTTGTGACTGACCGGCTCGACGAAGAATCACTGGACAGTCTCGTGATTATATACGCAAAGTGGGCACAACGGAAGGTTACCACACGAATGATGTTGTGCAAGTCATGCGTGGCTGGCACTCGTCAGATTCCAAAAACAGTGAGCTCTATAGCTACTACTGCATGGTCACAAAGCACAAAGCGTGTTCCTCCCGAAAACGATCATGAGCGGTTCCAAGGTCAGATGCCACTCTTAACGTACCGTTCAGCGTCCTCAGGCTTCAAGGGAAGACCCTTTCAAGTCGTGGGCCGTACTGAGCTTCGATTGACTCTGGGCCCCGGGGGGTTTAAGTAAGTTTGGCGCACTGCTCTGGCACTCTGGCACTCTGGCGGTGGGTGCGGTGCCGTACGCAGGGACAAAGTTAGCTCATCGACGGATGTGGGAATATGATGGAAGCTAAGAATATCAGAGAGTGAATCCCATCACTCTCGTATCACTCACTCGCTGACTATTCGACGTGTGATATCAAAGGCAAAGCTGTCTGTCGTGCGAAAACGACCTCTCTCTACAGCACCGAGGTATCGATTGGTCCATGTTTGAAATACAAACAAAACAACAAAACTGCAGGTGAGAGATGAGATCTGCTGTCAATGATGAATCAAACTCGGTCGCTCCCCTTGTCACAACACACAACATTACCAGTGTGCGAGTGCTGCAAATGGACGGCGCCGCCCACTGCCCACTAAATGACGTTGCTACGTGTGCCCTGATTTCATGTACCGACGCAGTGTGTATTCTTTTTGTTTGCTATGTATGTATTGCAATATGTATGATTCGGAGCATGATCGATGATCTTTCGCATCACAGATTCTCTTGTTTTCTCTCTTTCTCGGTGACACGCAATACCGTTGTGTTGCGGAGCGTGCCTTTCTTACCGTTCGAACCATGCCGGATACTTCAACTGGACAAAACCCTGCCAGGATGTGCGGCCCGGGGTGGTGGGGAGAGCGGAGAGGCGGTTGTTGACCTTTCAAGTTGTATGTAGGTCGTAACGGTTTTCCTGTACGTACAGTAGGTAGTAACGTCCCCTCGACGAGAAGAACACACCTCATCTTAACCTCCCAATGACTCTGTGGCACGCAAGGACTCTCAGGCTGGAGTAACTCATCGACGGATGTGGGAGTATTAATGGAGGATCAGAATATTCGGAGAGTGGGAATCCCATCACTTCGAGCTCCCGTATCACTCACTCACTCACTCACTGACTATTCCGACGTGTGATATCCGTGGGGGAGGGGGAGGGGTGAGTTTGAGTTAATCATGATCAAATACATACATACATGGATGATGGCGACCGTCAATGTTTGTTGGTGTTCCTGGACCTGGACAGGTACACACTTGTAACACGATCGAAACGCGGAACCCAAAGAAGCAAAAAAACAAAAACAAAAACACTGCCTCACGTAAACTTGTTCAACAACCTTGCGGGTTTCAATCAACTTACCCCTTTTTCTTTTTTTTTTCTTTTTAGGATGGCGGATTGGCAATTGGACGTGTATGGAGAGAGTTGTGTATGTATTGTGTTATCATCACAATCACATCACATCTGAATGATGCTGTGGGAGAGGAGTGTGTGTGAGAAAGAGATCAACAGGGGGGGGGGGGGGAGAGATGCGTGAGAGATGCGTTGTAAGGGGGACGCGGGCATCCCTCCCAGAGGAATGTGAGCAGAGCAGCCTTTCCCCACTTATGTGTCCCCATCTAACTCTCTCCAAACGTCCTGATCGTCAACATCATCCAAAAGTGTGATTTGCTACAAGGCTTTGATTTTGTTGGACAGACCCGTACAAGGCGGACGCAGTTCGAACGGTGTGGGAGAAACGGTTGGAGAGGGTAAGTAGTTAGTTACACAGTGGTCGAACGACTCGGAGCACTGTGGCGCGGGGTGTTGTGATTGTGGTCGTCGTGTCGTGTCAATGACAGGTGCAGTACAGTAAACTGTTTTAATGGTATCGCCGAGGGGTATGTCAGTTGTATCTGGCATGTTGGAACGGTTACAGTCAACGTACGTTCCGCACTACACGGTATGCGTGTCACAGAGAGAGAGAGAGAGAGAGAGAGAGAGAGAGAGAGAAAAGAGAGAGAGGAAAGAAGGAGGAAAGGAATTCTTGTGATGTGAAAGATGCTCCGAATCATACGTATTGCAAAACATACATAGCAAATAACAAAAAAGTAACACGTTACGTCGTAGTGGGCATATATCAGGCACACGTAGCAACGTCATTTAGTAGGTGGGCGTGGGCGGCGCCGTCGTCGTCGTCCAATTTGCAGCACTGGTACACAGTATACTTGTGATGTTTTGACAATGGGAGCGACCGAGGTTTGATTTCATTGACAGATCTCTTCCTACGCTGTTTGTTTTTTTGTGTGTGTTTGTAATTCAAACGTGACCAATTTCGTATATAGCCTCGGTGCTGTTAGAGATGAAGCCCGAAAAGATGGCGATGAACGAACAGACATGCGCAGTGATAACGGACGGGACGTTGACGGTGACGGACGGTGAAGTAGATCAAATAACGTTCATTGGCATTGCGAATTATTTTTCGTCAATCGATACACAATTATCGACCACAACGCTTGATATCGAACAGAGATACAGTTGTATAATTTCAGTCGACGGAAACGTACCGTCACCATCACCCATGAACAGCAGGTAAATTTGGTGGGTGAATCATTTATGAAAATATGTGGATATTGCGGAACACGGACGAAGAGTCCCGGGGTGGGCGTTTCGAATCGAATTCAACACATTCATTCATTTCATCGTTAGTATTAATGAGAGGAGCAACGCGTACGACAAACACGAGGATAATGCGTATTGGGGGAGAAGAAACAACAAACAAACAAACTGTTAGATCGTCAGTGTTCTCGGAGAACGGCTGATCGACGCACGAACCCAAAGTACCTAGTGAGTCATTAACGAGTAGTCTCCCCGAGGCAGCGTAGACGGGCGTTCAACGTTCAACCTTCGTGCCTCAGGATCTCTAGCGTTGAGGGCGCGCCTCGCGAACTCATCAGCGCAATCGTATGATACGGGATCGGCACCGAGAGAAATGAGTGGCAAGGTTGCAAGGGATTGGTTCTCCACATGGACAGAGGATCAGAAGATAGCTGTTGGATGCGC